ATTACCTGAAGATCATAATTTTTCTCAATCAAATTAAGGAGCTCCTTAATCTGAACAAGGAGAGGATATTAGAGGTGGAGACGATGGCAAATTTCATTTCTATTTTTTATACTCCCAAGTTTTTATTTTAAAATACCTAATCTATTAAAAAGTTGTTAAATATATTAAAATTTTTTTTCTGTAACAATTTGAATTGCTGAAATGCTTGATTTCTCAGCAATTCAAATTGTTACAGAAAAAAAAATTTAATATATTTAACAACTTTTTAATAGATTAGGTATTTTAAAATAGAAATAAAACTATATTACTATACTATATGTTGAAATAGAAGTATGCTACAAATTTTTTATAATTGTTTAGTTTTAACATAAATTATATAAAAATAAATAATGAACTATTATTATAATATAATTTATTAATTTTCAAAAACAATATTTGATTAACAAAAAACCTATCTTTGTAGGACCAGCGCTTTATTTGGCAAATGACCCACCTGGAGAAAACTAAACCCGCAGCAGCAGTGGTCTCCCGCTGCTGGGAAAACCACAGTTGGTATTTGGATCCCACAACCGTAATCTTTGCCCTTACGAACTTTAATGAGTCTGTCTCTAATGACATAAAAAAGAAGGTGGCAAGGCAGCTAATGGAGTGCCCTAAACCCAAGGCCTGTGAATTTGATAGAAGAAATAATTCTGGATTTAAAAAAATAGGAGGAGTTTCTGTAATTTAGTGAGCCATCTACTCTTGCTGATTATATAGGTTTTAAATATTGGCTATTTTTTGATACAGTGAACTTGACAGCAGTTTTAATATTGTGGGAGAAATTGATGTTCTGAAGGTTCATTGTTTAGGGCTTCATTCTCTGGAGCAGAGAATGAGGCCCTAAACAATGCTGAAACTTAAAAAAAAATTTAATTGACTATATTTTTTTAAACAAAGGTTTCATTTTTCTGCTAAAAAGTAAAATGAAGGACAAAAGAATACTATAAAATTCCCGTCCCCTCCCTTTCTGGATAAATAAAATTGGGAAAGTCTACAGCTTCCTCCTCCCTCCCATATCTAAAAGTGTTTAAATTTTTCTAAGTATTTAAGTTCATTACTAAATTTTAATAAGTTATTACTACTGTTGGGAATTACTACTGAGTGGAGGGTGCCAGACCCCATCAGGGAAAAGTTCTCTGCCACAAGATACAAAAATGTATACTTTAAACCTGAAATCCTTATCTTTAAGGAGCTTACGCACAAAATTTTAGGTTACTGTGATTATAGTATCATAATGTGCAAAAACTGAATGATTTTAGTAATTGATTGATTAACCTCTGTTTTCTTGCTTAACTTTAAAAAAATTAGTTTGGCACAATATGAAGTAATAGAGCTTAAAGCTTGATTTTTTCCATACATTGTCTATACATAGAGGAGGGGTTACATTGGTAAAAAGTATGACCTTCCGTTTGTCGGCGTGCGGTTCTCAATTATTGACCGAAGGCTTTCGGTTGCGGGTATGCGGGTCATTTTTCAATTTTAGAAAGCCTACAACGGAAGGACTCGCAAAATGTATGTAGGATGTTAGAATTTTAAGGCCTTCTGTTTCAGAAGGTTTACCCGCGCTTTATTTAAATGCGCAAAGCAAAATAAAATATGGCTTCTAAAAGGAAAGTAGAGTGGTCTGATAAAGCAGTACAATTAAAATCAAAGAAATACGTTAAACTGGATCAAGATGGTAACAATATACATTGCTTGCTATGTAACGTCGGAATCAAAGTCAGAAAGGGAAGATCTTTACTACCGATGAGTACAATCAATAATCAATCATTTATTTCACTTTATAAAATAAAATTATTACAAAGCTAGGATCAGTCACAAACAGTTATTTAAGTGACAAAAATGTGACAACCTACAAATATTACCCGTAAATTTGAAAAAGTATATAAACTAAATAGTAAATTAATAATCATAATAATAAATTAATAATAACAATACAGTAATAATCATTGTAATAATAACAGTAGTAATAATAATAAATATAGCTATAATAATAATAATAGTAGTAATTTACAACAGTAACAATAATAAAAATAATAGTTCTAATTATGGAGATAATAATAATACTTAAATAATAACAATAAGGGCGTAGAGCGGGTTGTTTGGGGAATGCTATAAATAATACCATATAAGCTATACCTACATTTATAGATTCAGTCACTCAGTCACTCTCAAACACACACATACAAAGAGGCACACATATACATTATATATATATATATATATATATATATATATATATATATATATATATATATATATATATATATATATATATATATATATATATATATATATATATATATATATATATATATATATATATATATATATATATACTATAGCATATTTATATGTGCAATTGCTCACTTTTTTTGCTAATCTAAATCAATATAGATTTTAGATAAAAAGAAGAAGAAAACGAAAAATAATGAATGAAAAGGTTGCTGACCCATCCCAACCCCTTAGACTATGTAGCAGCACTCCACTGCGAGTCAGGCTATTTGTCAATTAATGTATGTACTGAAACCCCCGGCAGCAGGCTATTTCAGTATGATGCCATCATGCTCACTTAACTCAGCAGTATAAGATATGTACATACATACATATATATATACATACATGCATACACATACATACACACACACATACACATATATACACATACACACACATACATACACAGACACATGCATACACACATACATATACACCATATACACACATACACACACATGCACATATACACACATACGCATATACACATCATACACACATACATATATACATACATATACATACACACATACATACATACATACATACATACATACATACATACATACATACATACATACATACATACATACATACATACATACATACATACATACATACATACATACATGCATACATACATACACACACACACACATACACACATACATACATACATACATACATACATACATACATACATACATACATACATACATACATACATACATACATACATATATACATATACAAACATACACATATACACAATAATTACATATACACAATGTATACATACACACATATTTACCCACAATGCACACTCAGGTTCATACAAATATGTCCATATATGGAACAGAAGGGTAAGGAGTAGAAGAAGAGATAACTGAATAAGTTTAAATAAAGGAAAACTAAAAGCTGTTATATTTTAGAACAATAGACAATTAATTGAAGATAGTGATAATGGTTTGTTAGAATTTTATTTAGTGTTTTTATGAAGTATAAATTTTTTGATATTGGCAATGAAAACATTTCTAGTAATGTTAGGGAGATTTATTTTTATTGAAAGTGGCAGAGAGTCCCAAGAGTGAAATGATTGGTATATAATAGATTGAATACCATATTTGCTAGTTTTTTTTAAAGGTAGAGCTAGATTATAACAAAATATTGATCTAAGATTAGAATTATGAATATAACTTGTGAATTTAAAATAGTTGTTAAAAGCAATATGCATGTTACTATGAATGATATCCCTCACAAAAACACAGTTTATTAAGTAGATGAGTTTATTTAACTCCAAAACATTGTAAATCCATTTCACATGAGGTATCTGTTCGTAAAGAAAATGGAGCTGAGCCTTTTCAAACTAATATACATCAGTTTTTCCTATTGTTTTTCCAAATGTTTCGAAATTAGAATTTGTGGCTAATTTTGGAATTGATTTTAGTATTATTCCTGAAGCTAAAATAAAATTAACTAAACCATGCGACGGTGTATTTAATAAGAGAAGAGAACTTGTAGTCCTTTTTAACTCCTATGGCATTATGGATAGTATGATAAATAATAACGCAAAATTTCTTAAAATAGATGATAAAATTTATTTTCATAGTATTTAATGTACTTGAAATCACATCAAAAAATGTGATTATTCCATTAATTTATGTAGAAATAGATCATTCACTAGTCGATTGGAAGCGATGGATATTATAAGAGATGTTTTAGAAATTATCGAATCATCTGAAATTCGTGAAGTAGACTTCACGAATTTCAGATGATTCGAGGAAAAAAATTTGTAAAAAGCTGTAAACTTAATCATGCACAGTGTAATGAAAAAAGAAAATTGTTTGCTGCAAAGTTCAGTTTAAAAATTGAAGGTATTACTTCATTATTAAAATTGAAAAAAGAACTTTTGGCAATTGGAATTACTGTTTCAGGAATAAATTAAATTTCAGGATATGATTCCTTTTTCCGATCATTTCATAAACTTTACAAAGAAAATCCTAAATAAAATGGAACTCTACTAGATGCAATGCAGTCTTGACAACGACACCAATGAAATACAACTTCTATGTATTCATCCCCAAAGTACAAATGAAAGTAATCATACATTGAATAATCACATTTATGATGTTTTAACAAGGCACCCAAATTTCGAAGTTGTTTCAATTTCTACAGATGGTGTATCATACAAAAGTAAATGGATAACAAAGATTTTATTATCATTTTTTGATAAAAAAAACAATCCATATTATGTCTGGGACTAAATTAAAAACAATTGGATCGTATCTGATTTAACCTGGAATATTTGCACATGCAAGTTTAAATATATCTAGAGATTTATATGAAGTTAAAGACTTTGCATCTGATGCCTTAGTGTTAGGAATTTGTGACCCTAAATTAATAAAAAAGATAATAGAAGCAGATTTTAACAGTCATGCAATTTCAAAGCAATTACAGTTTATACTTTCTTTAACGTTAGTATTTCTCAGACTTTTTCTTATTTCAATATATATATATATATATATATATATATATATATATATATATATATATATATATATATATATATATATATATATATATATATATATATATATATATATATATATATATATATATATATATATATATATATATATATATATAGTTTTTCATGTTACATGTTTTTAAAAACTACAAACCTTTAACTTTTGAATGATACATTTAGTTTTTTATTTTCTAAGCTTTGAAATTTATATTAAACTTTTTGTACAACGTGGAATAGCCCCAAACAACTTCTAATTGCTTGTACTTTCGAACTTTTGGATAAAGTTAAATTTAAAGTTAAATTTCGAACTTTTGGATAAAGTTAAATTTAAAGCATGATTATAACATGGATACCAAACAGTATAACAGTACAACCACATTATTTTAAAGAGAGTGTAACTTTTTTTACAACATGTTTATAACCGATTGACTAATAACTTGGCCGTTAAGAAAAAGTTGGTTGTAAATAGATGCTTTACTATTAGTTTGATGATTTTGATCATGCAAACCAACATATCCAACAAAATCTTCTCGAACTGATCGATCAGGCATCAAATAGCGTAATATTGTTGTCATTTGTGACTGATGTGATGCATCAAGTGTTTCGTCAAACATAATAGCATAATAATTTGATTCTCAAACACGACTCACAATTTGTTTACATATTTCTTCTCCACAACATTCACACGGCTGTTTCAAAGTGAGCTTTACGGCTTCTTGTTTTTTTTTTAAAATAACTACTTAGGGTAAAGTGACCAAATTCCAGCTGCATCTTTATAAAATTGTTTCTACAGAGGTATTAACAAAAAGGTCTATATGAAAATTATACATTTCTAAAAAGATAAATCCTTCAGCATTTAGGATATAATTACAGCAATTATTATAAATGAAAATTATTTGAGAAAACAACGATAACAAAAAGTATATAAATTTGACCAAAATACAGCCACTATGACCAAATTTTAGCCAGGCGTATGCGGAATAATCCTAATTACAACCAATATAAATAACAAGCTTTTTACCAATACTTTTATGGGTTGGCATTTAAAATATTTAAAAATTAATTGAGTTACTAAATATAGAATCAATAATTTTTTTGATCCTACAATTTTAGCCGGTTAATAGCTAAACAATAAGTAAAACAGTTTTAGCAAAATTGGATTTATTTAACGTTTATTTAGTTTAAAGTTAAAATGAACATGTTCTTAAACATCAGTTAGAAAATGATTGCTTAACTTAATACTAAGCATTCATCAACAAATAAACTTAATAAGATTGCCTAAACCTAAACAAAAATATGTTTTCAGGAAATGATTTACACCACCTAGTCCATAGGCAAGAAAAAAAAAAAGCGTATACACGTTGGTAACAAATAAAAGGAAATATTTTTTAATGCAAATAAAAACCAAACACAAAACTAGGTTTAATATTATAAATATTATAGTATTTTACCTATTATGTAAATCCGGATAAATAATATCAATGAAATAATCTATACTACTGTTTTAAAAGATTAGCATAAAATATAATAATCACATTAAAAGAAAAAAGAATTCAGTGAACTCTATAAAAGACTTTTTTAAACATTAAAAATAAAAACTCATAATAATAAATCAAATTACACATTGTTTTTTAATACTTTTATTGGTTCATTTTTATAACAATCGTTGGTAATTAGATGTTGTTCCAACTCATTATCTGGTAAAAGTACTTTTGTCCTGTCTGTTGTTTGATTAATCTGCTCAACTGTTGTTGTTTTATTAACTGTTTTATTTTGATCAAAGAGATTAGTCACAAACCTGTCTTCAGAATACACATAGTTTGGCAAGTAAGCTTCAGCCGGAATAATCAAAGGATTATATGGAATGATTCACATGATTTAAAGCCAGATTCAATATTAGCTTTTGTCACTTTTATTCCAGGCTTTAGTTAAAAGTCCTGTAAAATTGGCCTTGTTTATTATAACCCCATGGTGATTAGACATCATATCCTGAGCTGCTTTGTTGAAATTTTGAATGGCTTAAACACAGTTCGATCGCAAGGTTGAAGCCAATTTTTTGTATGAGCAAGTAATTCAACAATTTCAATTCGGTTTTGTATGGCCAAATCTATTAACTCTACGAAATTGTGGGAATCATGGCCATCCAAAATTAAAATTTGTGGACATTGTGGTCCAATATTTTTTAAAAATGTAAGCTCAAACCATAGTTTTGCAATTCCTTGTTTAGTCCATCCACTTGGACTCTAGTTGGTTCCTTCAGGGACATCTAGAGCTTGAAAACTTTGAAGGGATTTTACTGTCTTCTCTTTTGGAATCACATGAAGTGGTTAGGCTCTTCCTGCTGCATTCACACAAACAATTAAAGTAATCATTTATCGATTCCCACTTGTTATCATATGTAAATATTTGTACCTTTTGCAACAACATTTTTGTGTGCCTTAAAATCTAGCTGCAGTCCTGTCTCATCCATGTTCCATATTACTTGACAGTCTTTAATGACTTCTTTAAGTGAAGTAAAATAATTTCCCACATTTATCGGATTCATGTATTGATGACGAACTGATGCTGTTGATTCTGGTTGTCGAAGAGTTACTTTTTTGTTATGTAAATTGTTAAGTAGTTCCCACCATTTATTAGATGGTTTGTCATTCTTAAAAGAATATCTATATTTTTTGGCAAGCTTGCCAGCATATACCAAGAATTGTTCTTTTCCGATACCACTGCCCATCCTAGCTCTGTTGTCTGCAAAATCGAGTAACCTTTTTTCAAGATCAAGCGGCATTAAACTTTTTCTTCATACTTTTGCGCCAACCTCAACTTTTCCATTTATCCTGCTCTGCAAAGTTGCTCGGGGTACTTTAAAAAATTTAGCAGCAGCTCTACAAACATTTTAGATGAACTAATAACACTGTTTATAGCTTCAAGAAACACTTCCTCTTTTTATTTCACATATTTATCTCGAGTTGGATGACATTGTTTCTTATTATGAATTTTATTTTTATTATCAGCCATTCTAAAATGAAAACTTTATATATTAAATTATTAAAATTTTCAATTAAAGATTATTTTTTAACATAATTTCATTTATAAGTAATAATTTACATGAAACAATATCTTTCAATTATTTCAATTTTTGTTTATTTTTAGGTCATCGTTCTCATATTTTAAAAATATTATAAAAATATTTAACTAAATGAATGCATATTTTTAAGATTGATAATTGTTTTAGGACATAAGTGTAACATAAAGTACTTATATTAAAGAAATAAAATCTAATAATATAAATATCATACAAGGATAAGTTACTTTAAGACACTCGAGAACCTAACTTCGGCTTTGGGCGGAATGTTTAAACCTGTCCGAACTTCGGTCTTTCTACCAGGTGCAATTAATTAAGAAATACAATCTATAGAAATGACTCAGCATAATTATAAAGCTAAAAATGTCTTTTTAAGAAATATATTTATAGTTTAAAATAATTAACATTTCGTTAAGTAATAAATATTTAATGTTTATAAGCTTCAAACTAGATGCTTACATGATATTTTAAATCTAAAGTAGTACTTTTTTGAGATAAATATTTGTTATGATGTTACTTCTATTATAAACACCCGCCAACTAAAATAATGTTTTTTTTTATTGGCTGAATTCATACCAGTCACAAAAAAGTCGCATTTACAAACATAAAGCAGAAACCAAGGCAGAAATAATAAATTTAAAATGTGGCTGGATTTTGGTCACTGCCTCGAATTTGGTCACTTTAACCTAATAGGTGTTACTAAAACTTTTTAAATTTTCTAAATATTAGAGATAATTTTGTTCTGTAAAAAGAATATAAACACCAATAAAATGTTTTACCATATGACATTAAATAAATGATTGAAAACTTTCTTCGATTTTAGATAAAACGCGCCAAATGATGAGCTTGGCTAAATTTTAGTAATTTGTTGTCATTTTTTATCAAAAAAAAGTTTAAAAAGTATATTTTAGATAATTATTATTAAATATACACATTGTAAGACCACTTTAACTTAAAAAGAAAATTATTTAAACTTGATTCTTAACTGAGACAGGCAATATTTATGTCAGTAAAGCAAATCGCTACTTTTTTACTCGTAAAATATTAAAAGTTACGTGATTGTTTTAAAATGTAAACAATAATATACGCATAAAAATAGGCAAAATGTTGTAAACCAGCCAAGTTTGAAGACATATTTGGTAACATAGCTAGAGGTATAAATAACAATTTTTGGATTTTCGTGTGCATAAATGATTGAAAATTTGTTAATTTGGTGATCGTTACAAAAAAATAATATTTTACATATAAAAGTTAAAAAAACAAAAATATAAATGCATTAAAAACAAATTTTTGCTAAAAAAATTAACAATATCCATTGCTGGTTTAAAAAATTTACAATATTCATTGCTATTAACAACATCCACTGATGGTTTATTTTAGTTTTTTAAAAAATACCTTCCTGCTTTAACAGCTTCATTGTAATATGTAGCTTTTTCGTGATTTGCTAGATCTTGCTCCTTGCCTATCAGTTTAGCAAACACCTGTAATAGTTGTTTAACTAGTTTTCTGAAGTGCAACTTATTTGTGAGATCCTGCAGTCCGCTGGTATGAAAATAATGCAGAATATTTGCAGAATAATTCCTTTTTACTATCTGAATATATTAACCATTTTTTTTTAAATTTATTTGGACAACCATAACCTTTGTTTAGGAGTTGTACTTTTAAACAGAAAAACAGCAGGCACAAGCCGTATATTAGTAATTTATGATTTTTTAACCATTGCTTGAACAAATGCTACATTGATATCCTTTCACTTAAACAATATTTCTGCTCTGTAGCATTCTTACAACTTTTTCTTGTTAGTCGAAATTCCCCTGTTTTTATATGAAGAAAGTTTACAAGGGGATGCAAAGTATCGTGTGAAGATCATTTTGATGTAACTGAAGGTATATACAAAAAGTTAAGACTGCATTCAAACGTATACTTATGTTTTGTTTTGTCTCTCATCTGTTCAAGCAATTCTTTCAATTTTCCTAATACTGATTTCCCAGATTCCTTGATCCAAAGCAAATATTTTATTTAAAGATTTAATAATTTCTGCCATGAACTTCAAACGTAAATAAACACTTTTAATTAAGTACATTTGACATTTAATATAAACAAAACTATTTACATTAAAAAAAATATTTTTTAATATTTTTGAATCAATATTTTCTGACATGATAGAACTTTAAACTTAAAATTTGAAAATCACAAATTTGAAAAAAGTAGATCTGACATTTGATGTAAAAAAAAAAACATTTACATTTAAAATTAGTCTTCTAAAAACTTTGTTGTTATTTATATAGCTATAATTTTTATTTTTTTCCCTACAAACAGCGCTATATAAATCTGGTAAATCTCCACTACGTCTATTCTTTTAAGTCTATCCTTTTAAGTCTGTCTGTAGGCGTCCACTCCATTATGCGATAGTTATTAAACGTTCTTGAAATATCTTTGAGTTAAAATCGTTTTTACGAGTTGATTAACTGTTTTAAAAGTTGTTTATTTTTAACTATACTGTAAAGTAAGCATAAACATTAAATAAAAAAAAATACTCAATTAATAATTTTTAATCTTTAAATTTGACACCATTCCACTATCCCCTTGGAGATATGTATTACCGATTGCAATCCCGCGATCCCTGCCTTTTTTATAATCTAATTACCTATAAGATTGAACAAAACAAAGCGTAATTAAAATATATAAAAAAAAACAACAACAATTTTTGAATCTCAATATAATAATTAAAAAATATTACAAAATTGCAAAAAATAATTGTAATTTTGGTTGCACAAAAAAAAATATTATCGAAAAGGTTTGATTGACAAAGTTGAAAGATACTAACAATAAAGTAAGCAAAGAAATGTTCGCAGCTTTAATGGTTCTTATGCATGAACGCCGAACTGATATGAGTAGACTTCTGCAATAGCTGTCTGTTAATAATCCTTTATATATTAAAAAGGAACTTGATCTTGTTATCAAAAAAGAACGATCACCGGTGCAACCAGTTGTGCATAAGACATTATTATCAAAATTTCTAAAAGAAATGACACTACTTGAAAGTAGTGATACACCTGGCAATTATTTATTAAAAACTTATTCATTTCTAGTGATCTTGAAACCTACAAGTGTAGAGGCTTACCAGGCATTTAAAAGACAATAAAATGAACCATTTTCTAAAATTACAAAATTAGTCAAATCAAAAACGCTTTTAAACGCATGAATGAAAGGAAATTATTAGATCATCGAAAATAAAACAGCGCCTATATTGCAAATTTATTAAAAAAATTGCATTACGAAATGAAACTAATTATAAAAGTTATAAGCGTTTATTTAAATCTTTTTTAAAACGTTCAAAGAAAAATTACTATTCTAAAAAATAAAGAAAAATAATAATACACAAAAAACATGGAGTATTTTTAAAGAGGTAATAGGAAATAAAAATCTAGACAAAAATACTCTCCCAAAAAATCTTAAAATTATTGATAAAATTGTAAATATATCATTATTTGCAGAAGCACTTAATAACTTTTTTGTTAACGTAGAATCAAACTAAGCAAATAAATAGGGGCCATCTAAAAAAAACGTATATTCATATTTTACATCTAGTAAAATTTTTATGCTAAATTATGAACTTAAAGAAGATGGTTATTAAATTCTATCTCTTTACAAAGCTTTATAAAAATTTAGATGTCGATGATGTTAGTAGTAATGTCATTATAAAATCAATAATTATTTAACAGTACCACTTATACATATTTTTAGTTTATCAATAAAACATGGGGTTTTTCCTGAAACCTTAAATATCCCCTTCGTGCACCATGTGTACAAACACACACAATTCATTTTGTTCATTTTTCACTATAAAACTTTAGCAAAAAAATAATTGAAACACGATGTGTAGATTTGTGCATACCAGTCCTATTTTATATTTTAATAAAGTTAATATTTTAATAAAATTTTACATACCCCATAAGGAGGTCTAGTACATTTGTTTTATCAAAAAATAAATTTTTTTAGCACATTCTATGTGCCAGTGTACAAAAGGGATATTGCAAAGGTTACACTAATTTTCAAAACAGGTGATTTTTCTGACATTTCAAATTACAAACCAACTTTAGTGCTCACTTGTTTTTCCAATATTTTAGAGCATATTATGTATAACAGACTTTGTTCTTTTTAAAATACCAATACTGTTCTTTGCAATAGAGTTTACCGATACTGTACAAACAATTTGGGTTTAAGTCTGCTCATTCAACCGATCATGCAACCATTCATCTAGTACATGAAGTTTTTAAAGCCTTTGATGAAAAAACAGTAAAAATTATACGTTTTTGTTGATCTAAGTATTTAATACGGTCGATCATAAAATTTGTTTATATAAACTTAAAAATTATGGTATTAAAAGTTTTAACTTAGTTTGTTTAAGAAGTTATTTAACAAACAGGAAACAGTAGATTTCATTCAATGATGGAAAAAAGAATTTAGCGTCAGTTACCTACGGCGTCCTGCAAGGATCAATTCTTGGGGCTCTCTTATTTTCCTTTATACAAATGACGTATGTAAATTTTCAAAAATTGTAAATTCAATTCTATTTGCAGACGATATTAATTTACTCAGATAAAGAATTTAATATTTTATTTGAAACAGTAAACAAAGAACTTGCAAAACTAAATGAATAGTTTATAGCGAATATATTATCTATAAATAAAAAAGTAATAAAATATACTCTCTCCCATTGTCTTTGTGAAAAAGAACTCATTCCTTTAAAACTTATTTATCTCTTTGTTAGTAACTCTTGTATTATGAGAGAGTTCATTGTTGTTTTTAGATGTTGTTTTAGATGAAAACTTGACGGGGAGGAAGCATATGATGTGATCTAAAATAAAATTTTAAAAAGTATTGGGCTACTATTCAAAGATATGCAGTTGTTAGACCAAACCTGATTGAAACGAATTTTAATTTTTTTAATTCATTGCTACCTAAATTATGCATATGTTGCCTGGTCTAGCACTAATGTAAATAAAATGAATAAACTGCTTAGTAAACAAAAGAATAATTGAAAATGTAGATCGCTTCTCACACACTAAAATGCTATTTTTTAAACTTAATATTTTCAACGTATTTCAACTTAACCTTTATCATATTCTTATTCTTATGTTTAATGTTGATAAAAAAACCCGGCACCCATCATATTTAAATTAATTTTTGGAAAAATAAATCATCTATACCCAATACGTTTTTTAGTAAACAATTACATTTAACTTAAAATTTACTATTCTGCTACTAAATTTTCAATTGCAAATAGAGGTCCTAAACTATATTTTTAATATTTGTATTTGTTTATACTTTTGGATATATGACGCTTTTATATAGCGTAATATATGTCTTGCACTTTAACAAAGTTACGTTGTTTTTGTTTTTTATTTATTAAAATTTTTATTTTAAGGGGTTTGGCGATAAGATTAAATTTGTCTTCTTCTTACTCCAGCCATGTATTTATATATATGTATTTTTGTAACTTTTTTCTTTTTGTTGGCGAAATACATAATTAATAATTAATGTTTTCAATCCTGGGATCAATCCCGAGACTCCAGGGTTGATGCTTTTCTATCTCGGAGTTTGAATCCCCATTATGTACATACGCATTTTAACTACGGCTATTCCTCCTTCTGAATTACCTGCTTTTACACTGGACAATATCCAATATAAAATATATATAGTATAGAAGTGTAGAATATAGTATATATCTAGTATAGAAGATGTGAAACAGATATCAAGTGGACATCTGTCCAACATCTTTTATAAACTCTTATTCTAGTATAATTTTTGTTTCTCTCTCACTGTCTGACGCGTGATCCAAATACCGACTAAAATTACTTAGATTTTACAAAACCACCTTGATTTGTTTATTGTCAAAAAACATAATCCCGACAAGATTATTGACGAGATTAAAAAATTAAATTAAATCAAAGCAATTAAAGTCAATATTATTCTTTCGAAGCAAAAAATACATTATGGAAAAAATTGATTTTTTGTTTTTTACCAATTAGAAATAAATTTTAATTTTAGATTTAAATAAATCTAGCCATAATTAAAATAGTCATTTTTTTATATAAAGTCTATTTTATAAATAGTAGGCATCATATATTATTATAATGTTACATTTTATTTTATTTATTTTTATTTTATTTATTTATTTTTATTTTATTTATTTACATAATATTACTATGTTATATATATATATATATATATATATATATATATATATATATATATATATATATATATATATATATATATATATATATATATATATATATATATATATATATATATATATAGATAGATAGATAGATAGATAGATAGATAGATAGATATATATACATATATATATATATATATATATATATATATATATATATATATATATATATATATATATATATATATATATATATATATATATATATATATATATATATATATATATATATATATATATATATATATATATATATAGAGAGAGAGAGAGAGAGAGAGAGAGAGAGAGAGAGAGATAGAGATATATATATTTAATATATATGATATATATATATATATATATATATATATATATATATATATATATATATATATATATATATATATATATATATATAAATATATATATAGTTTAAAACATTTAGTGAATTCTATTTTTAAGTGAATATACTATTATTAGACAATTTTTTACAAAAATTAAATGTCAAATTTGTATAGTTAATTTATTAGGCAACTATTAATGGATTTGTTACCTACAAAATTTGTAATTCCTCCTTCAAGTTCATTATTTTGTCCTCTCTGTGAGAAACTTTTCAAAGATCCAGTAATTTCAACTTGCTGTGGACACACGTTTTGTAGAAAATGTGTAGAAAACTCATCAATTTTAAGTTGTCCACTAGATGGTATCAGAATGGGATCAAATGTAATTGTTTCAAACCGTGCTGTGAATGGTCAGTTAGAGGACCTATTAATCTGGTGCAGACATACACTATATAGGGTAGATTCAGAAGATGATTTTCAAGTAGATGAAGATGGTTGTCAAGAACAAATAATGCTTGGTCAAAGAGCTATACACGAAGAATCATGTTTGAGTGCATGGATACCTTGTCCAAATAGCTCAAACCATTGTGGAAAATTTAGAAAAATGCATTTTAATGATCATCTTAAAGTTTGTGAATACAAGCGATGCAAATTCGCTACAAAAGGTATCTTAAAAATTTTAAATGCTATTACTTTGTAATTTTCTTAAAGGGAAATCTTTACGACAAAAATATAATACGAGAAAAATTATTTAAAGAAAATCTGGTAATTTACTGTAATATTTATAAGACCAATTGCAGTCAGTATTTTCAAATGTTTCTAAATTTCAGTATTTTCAAATATGTTTCTTCAAATTTTAACAAGTAATGCTATTTAAGACATCTAATAGTTTGGAAGTTATGTGATGTTTTTGCAATGTTGAGTCAATTTTTTTTTATTTTTTTGTTAGTGTGGGTGACTCATTCCAGTAGTTGCTCAATTAGTAGGCAACATTGTCTAATTTAATTGTTTGCAAAATAAAAGACATTAGGCAGTTTGAAGAATATATAGGCCTTTCATAATTATTGTAAAATTCTACACAGCATTTTCATAACTATCAATGAAATTAGAATTTACATTACAATATATTAGAAATATAATTTATTTTCTATACAATAATCTGCTCTACATATGGTTTAATAATTAGGTATTATTTCCAAAAAAGCAACTTATCATTGGCTGTGTTTAATGTGGAAGCCAATTCTTGTGTCTAAAAATTAGAAATTAAATCAATTTTTTTTGAAAAAAGTACCAAATCTACTTACTTGAAAAAATATTGCAAATGTTTACATTAAAGTTTATATTATTTTAACAATAATTTATTTTTAATAACAAAAAAAGAAACAGTAAGAAACTTTTACTTCTGAGTTTCATCTATATCCCTTTCCGACCATCTAAATCCTGCTAAATCCATCCAAAGCTTGCTAAAAAGTTGGTACAGCATTTTTACAACCAAAAAGAAAACATCTGAGCTTAAATAAGCTTCCACTAGCTCCAAATGTGGTTAGCTTGTAATTTTTAGGCTGTATTTTCACCTGATAATACATTGATTTGAGTTCAATTGTGCTGAAGACTTTATGAACTGCTATCTTGAGTATCAAGTTTTTAATTTAGGATGTTGGGTATGATCAAATAAAATATGCAGATTAATTGATTTAAGTCATCGCCTGGCAATTTTTGTGTCCTGTTAATACTAGAAAACATTGTTTAAATTAAATTAAATAAATTAAATGGTTTTTTTGATTTAGTTTGTAGATAAATATACTTCAATGTACTTTATCCATGCAGTAAATCAAACTAATTATAACTTAAAAATATTATTGGCTTCCATGCAGAGATTTAAAGAAATTTAAATTCAAAAGAATAAAAATCTTTACATCATCAAAGACTTATTCAGCTTACTTGAATTATTTCATGTTTTAACATGAAATAATTCAACGCTTTCTTTTATCATGTTTAATAACTCTTTCATGTAATGAAGGAGTTATTAAACCTGCTGTGATATTGTAGCAACCAGTTCAATTTTAAATTCTAATATTAATGTATCCAGTTCAATTTTGATACCAGTATACCGATATGGGCGCGCTAATTTGCTCTATAGTTTGCACCCAAACTTTTGTACTTAATTATGAATACAATTTTTGCATAAGTTCTTTGACTTATGGAAAGTAAAGGGAATTCTATAAAATATAGGATAAAAGTTAATGTAACATGCTCCTTGTCATAAATTTAAGGTTAATTGTGATTAAATACAGTACCTGCATAAAAAAAAATCTTCAGAATGTCCATGGGATTCATATACTGCTGCACAAGTACAACTTCTATGGACATATGAAAAACTTTTTTTTTTCAGTGTTTCCAAATATCTTGTGAATATGTCTAGCAATAAAATTGTCATTTATTAGTTAATTATCATGTTGATCTGCTGGTAGGTGTTATGTTAGACATTTTTTGGTAAATTGTTTCAGGTAGCTCACAAAGCTTTCAAAAAAATTTTCTTCTAGTTCCTTAAATGAAGGAAGCTTGTAGTGCATCACAATAGCTGTTGATCTTTTTGTTATTTGTTATCAAGGAACTTGATTGTATCATCATATGATGATTGTATCATCATATGATTGTATCATCATATGCTAGCTCTTTAGAGCAGTGCCCATTATAGTATTTGTAGAAAAGAGAAAGCAACATTACAACGATGTGACAGAGGTTGAAGGTTGGCTGCAAGAGCAGGTCCAACTATGTTTATAATGCATTTTTGCACCTCGTCTAAAGGAGAAAGGGTATCATTAGAAGATTCGCCCCAGATATGGCAACAGTATTCCATACAAGGCCGGATTTGAGATTTATAGAGATAGAGAATAGAATCCAGAGTAAGAAAGTGACAAGCTCGATAAAGAGAAGCAACTTTAGCAGATGCTAATTTTGCAACGGATTTGATATAAGGTTTCCAAGAAATATCAGAAGTAAGAGTAAATCCTAGAAGATGAAGGGTAGGAGACTGATCGAGTACATTGCCGTTCATAAATATAGGAAGGTCTAAATTATTGTGATAACGATTGGCTGAAAAAAATTGAGTTTTATCTGAATTAAAGTTTACCAGCCACTGTGAGCCCCGTGCTGTAGCAGAAGTGAGATCCTTTTCAAGCTCAGATGCCCCTGCAAGCAATCAGAGGGAGTTGGCTTCTTATTGTGGCAAAAATAAATGGTAGTATCATCAGCTAACAATGCCACCTCAGATGTGAGAATATCTGGAAGATCATTAATGTAAATTAAAAAGAGTATAGGGCCAAGGATCGAACCTTGAGGAACCCCTGAGGTTACAGAATAAGAAGAAGAGGACAAGTCAAGAACAACTTTTATACTATGATTGGAAAGGAAGGATTCAATAATCCTAAAAATGTTTTCAGATACACCGTAAGAATAATACTTATGGAGATGTATGCCAGGATGGCATACTTAAGATAAAGTTTTTTTTCGAAGTATTAGAGACTCCTCAAATTTTTAAGGGCCTTTAGCTACCCCAAAAAATGTTTTTTGTTCAAAAAAATTTTAAACCTAGTATTTTTGTATTGGATAGAACACATTAAGGGAGTAGGAGCAGGTTTTTCTCAAAAAAAAATTTTTCAAGAATTATCCTAATAAACATATATATATATATATATATATATATATATATATATATATATATATATATATATATATATATATATATATATATATATATATATATATATATATATATATATATATATATATATATATATATATATATTTATATATATATATGTTTATATTATATTATATATATATATATATATATATATATATATATATATATATATATATATATATATATATATATATATATATATATATATATATATATATATATATATATATATATATATATATATATATATATATGGGCAATTCTATGTAAAAGAGGAGGGGGTAGGGGGAAATGTTAAGCCAATATATAGTAACCTCAATAAACTTATTTTTCAACTATTTAAGAATATTTTTAAGAAAAAAAATTATTTAAAATATTCTTTTATCATACCTTAACATAGTTATAAAGTTGTAAGGGTTACAGCCCAGTTGTGAAGCATTGAAAAAGGTTTCAGTGCTGTGTTTTTAAATAACGATTACTTTTAAGTTTGAATTAAAGGATAAATTAAACAGTATTCATAATATTTTTTTATAAAAACAAAAACACTCTAACTAGGTCTATAAGAAGAATATATTTATGAAAACAATACAATAAGATTGTCACAAAAAAAAGTCAAAATGTTTTTTCTATGCTTCGTATCAAACTTTTTAAAACTACAACTATGGTAAAAGTAAAGATAATAATACAAATTTTATTATTGTATCAATTTTTTTTTTTAAACTGCTTTAGATCACCTTTTCAAGATGTTATTAAGCACGTTATGACCATCATGATATGTTTGTTTTTCCAAGACAGCTTCTTGACTTTATATAAAGTTCAATCGCGAACAATTTTATTTTTTAAAGCAAGTTAAAAATCAATTCCGTTCATTGTCTCCTTTGTAATTTGTTTACTCATTTTATTACAAAGCTCAATAAAGTTTCCTTTATTTATTATTTACTATTTCTTTTTTTAAGTTATAAGTAATATAATTTTAAAAATTTATATAAATTTTTTAAATCATAAGTAATATAATTTAAAAAATTATAATTTCAAACAACTAATGCGAAGAGTTTTTTTTTTCAAGAAATAATAACATTTAAAGAAAAGGAAGTTTTTTTAGAATAAACGTTTATAGTTTGCACTGCAATGTTTTTGTTCATTAGATTTTGCGGTTGTTTTTTTATTATTTATATTATTTCACGGGATTTTTTTTAATCAAGTTTAACACAATTTTTTAAGTCAAATTTGAATCTATAACAGATACATCACAACACTTTATCACTAACAGAAGCTGTGATATTTAAAAACATTTTAAAAATACCTAAATCAGATGCTGAAAGATTGAAAGCTTATAGAGCAAGAAACAGAAATAATTTGTTGGAGCAAGAAAGAAAGAGAAGTTATGAACGGCAACAGTGTTTGACACAAAGAAAAGAAAATAAATCAAGCAAAGGTTCGCAACGAAAAGTTAAAAATGAAAAAAAAAATTGATTTCAATACTAGCGTCAGTTTAAGTTCTACACCTGACAATTCTTATAACTGCAAATTGTCAATGAGAGAGGCATTAAATAAGTATTTAATTATATTAACATTTATTTTTTAATATTATTGCTCTTGCATAATTTGGGTTGTATATCAATCAACATTTTTAGGACAAAACAGACTCTTTCAAAGTCCCCAAATAAAAGGCGAACTATTGTAGAGCAGTTAAGAGCTGAATATGGGTTATGTACCACTAAAGAAACAGAGCAAGTTCACTTTACATCAGAAGAAATTAAAAAGTAAAAACTTTTTATGAAAAGAAAAATATATCAATTATGTCTCCTGGAAGAAAAGATTGTGTTAAAATAGGTGTAGAAAAAAGTTCAAAAGTGTTACTTAGTTATGAATTTAAAGGAGCTGCATCAACTGTATTGTGAGGAGAGTGCCAGCAAAACAATTAAATTAAGTTTTGTGAATTAAGGCCTACATACATTC